TGGCCATCTTCGACAACCGCCTGCTTTACAACCAATATACGATAATTTTGACCTCGTCTCATATATGCAGATGTATGTGCCAAAGCCTGAAAACCCGAATCGTCCATCATCCTGATAATGCTCTGGATCTCATACCTCTGACTTCCACTCCCAGGCCTGCTACATCTTTAGCTAGGCTCCGTTTTGCAAAAGGATGCATCGCACACACAATTCCGAAATCAACGACGGAGACTAAGCCCTTGACCACCAGGCACTTTGTCATCGAGAAGAGACGGACGATAGTGTCGCCGGACATCTTCACCTCGATGCAACAGATCTGATGGCAGTTCGAAACACATGAACCAGGTGCACATCGCTACCGGGACAACGCATCAAGTACAACCAGACAAGCGTAGTTACACAACCATGACGACCAAAACCAGCACAGCGACAAACACTAACACTAAGGTGCCAATGGCAAAAACAACGCAACATTGAGACGGAACACTAACTGTTAACTTGAGAAAGGACCGCCACACCGATACGCAATTGCAGAAACCACAGGAGAAAGCTGCGCACCCGCATGCAAACACACAGGCAGGCATGCATGTCCACATCTACAGCGGTATGAAATCGTGACTACGTACATGTGTATACTTGTGCGCATGAACAGTGTTCGCGTGTGCGTGCTCACATATTATATACATATATAGCATTATATAGCTATATGTTATGTACATACATAATTACGTACACAACTAGTTATATACGTATGCAGCGACCACCCCGCGCACATGCATGCATTAATCTTAGCAGACGCACGCACGCACTGGCACACAAACACACACACACACACATGCACCTGCACACAGAATGTCCGAGACACCGACCGCATACACATTTGTGATTGCAGATGCGAGCACTATACATCTACACACATGTGCACAACATACACCAAACAATCACGCAGAAATGCACGATCATGCATGCATTCACATACATACGTTCATACGTAGGTGCAGACGAAATATCAGGCACGCATAGAATGGCCAAGCCAGACAAGTCTGCAAGTGCTAACAATCGAGGAGATATTCCACTGTGACGGGAATGCGCGACTGCCGGTAGGGGACCTGGATAAGCGCATATTCCTAGTTCGGGTGCCTTCAGGTGTTAGAAGCCGAGTTGCAAACTTTGAACTGAAGATTGGGACATCACTGGTTTGGGAGAAGCGTTTCCTTTCGGATCTTCGACAGTGTCACGAGTTCGCGGGTTGGGGAACGTCGGCATGCCGATTCGCAGGCTGAATAAAGCCCCCAAACAAGCCTACTTCAGTTGTGAACCTTGCATCACATGCTGACCGAATACAACACCCTAGCACGCACTCTCCCGAAAGCCAAACGGCACCGGAACCTCCTCAGCTCCTAACGAAGCAGATTTCCAAGAAAGGAAGCCCCCGCAAGTAACGTTCAGTGGCTGAGGAGCCGCTGTGGTACTAGTAGCACAAAAGATCCTACAATGTGGTAACTCCCGGATTGACTACGAGTCTACATTCTAAAGTTCTGAAGTCACAACCCTCGATGCAACCCTTACAGTAGCTGGCCTAGCTACTCCGCGCCTTCTGCTCGGCATCCTGGTAGCCCGCATCTTGATAGAAGACGAGGCTGCCGTTTTTGACCTGCAAAGCTTTCAGCGAAGCCTAGGGCCCTAGGGTCCTGAAGCAAAGCGTGTCGAAAGGATAAAGTTGAGCAGCACTATGCTCTGCTGCTCGGCTGTGCGGTTTGGGTTTCATGATAAATTGGAGCACAAGGGTTCGGCATTCTAGTCCGCTCGAGACCACTTGCGACTTACGGAGCGATGTTGTTTGACCAGCGAGGCTGCTACAATGCTCAGTTCAATTCGAACGGGAATGCCCTGATAGGCCCGGGCGATGCCGCAGGCAATTCCGGCGAAGTGCTTCATGCGGCAGCGCCACTGCAAGTACCTGGCAGCCAACACCCCTGAAGATCGAACCGTCAACATGAATGAGCAGGCGCAATTAAACACCAAACCACCGCCCTGAGCCTCGAACCTACACATCTCAGATTCGCAAAACCCGCAACAGAGACTACCGAGGCTCGTGTGCACCACTCGTGGCCGACACCTGTTGACAAGCCTAGCCAATCCCAGCCAAGCTAGTTTACAATCCGGACTCTTCCAACCTTTGTCTTACCAAAACCCTACCTAGCACATACATCGGCACATTCATGGGCGTTGCCGGGGGAACACCAAGACAAATACAACTGTACTCAACCAACAGAAGTCCGGCGCGAGCAGTGGTGGGGGTGGCATGCGTCGCGGCGCGAGGGGGGTTGTTTAAATGGCGGCAGTGCTGACGGGCGTAATTGTGCTAGCAACAGTCTTGGACATGAACCTCGATATGGATATGGCATTCGCAATACTCCCATGACGATACTGCTGTCGAATTCACTTACGACTAAAGGCTGTCGATCCGGGAAAGATGACACACTGCCTACGAACCTTTGCACCCCGGGTGTGGAGATGAAGGTGGTGAAGTTTCATCCTGACAGCTCTTCACCCCGGATCCGACAGACTCCAATGCCTTCCTACATTCAGATCTCAGAAGCCCTATATGTAGTTTGCGCCATATGTGTCCATGCCTAGATTCCTAAAATTCGAAACCCGAATGCAGCGCCCATTAAAAGATTGAAGCGCACTGTCGAACCCGCTCTAAAGGCTCGCCATCCATGCCTGGTCTCTGGCGGATGGGCTCAGGGTTTATAGGGTTCAGGTGTTTCTTGGATTGTTCTAGGGTGATGGCGTTCTATGGAGGGTTTCGGGTTTGTACTTTTCGACTCTCTCTCTCTCTCTCCCTCTCTCTCCTTCACTTGTAGATTTGGTTTTGGGCTTTCCGGGTTTCAAAGGCTCAGGGTTTCGGGTGGCTGATCCCTGGGCAAGGCGAGATTTATTTGCCTAGCACCCTCACAACTTTTTCAAGACTAGTGACTAGTGTCCTTGAACAGCAAGTGGACGGACCATCATCCCTTTGATGAATCTCGCAACTGAGCCGATCACCCCAACATTCAGAAGCAAGCTGGGAAGGTACGCCCTTCCTGTGGCTCTTTGGGTGTGACCATTCCCTTCCCCACCGCCCCGACACGAAGCAAATTCAGGAAGGCACCACTTCCGAAACCCAAACGACCTGCGTGCGAAAAGAAACGGAACCTTTGGACTCAAATACCCTTAAGCCTCAAGGGCTTCCAGCTGGAAGTTCCGAAAGCCCCAAAACAAAACCGTAAAAGAACCCTCTGAAGCCCTGCGCCCGAATCCCTGGATGTAATGAACACCATGAACACCTTTAATAACCTATATGACATCGATTTGCCCTGGCTGCCGTGAAAACCATGCTCGTTACTGCTCTAAGGCCTTCTTCTCGAGAGGTTTGTTCATATATAACCTCAAGAAACTCGGGGTACAGGTCCGTCGAAGACTCTACAGTCGTAAAGTTTGTTGCGGCACAGCTGGCTGAGGCGAGCACTTTCGGAGATATTTTGGCTCCCACATCGCTCTCACCACAGCAAACACAGGTCTCGGAGTCGGCGCAAACAGGAAACTGCCGACAAAAGATCATGAGGCTGTCAGGTGCTGTGTGAGTTCAGTTAGCCAGCTTCGGGATGTCACATGTCTCAGAAAAGTCTGAACAATCTGAACAATTTTAAAGGAGACTGCAGAAGCGAAGCGCCAAGGAACAAACAAGGCATAGGATGGCTCATCCCGAAACCGACGCTAAAGGGCCTGAAGGGAAAGGCCTTCTGCTCAGGAGTCGGGAGCTCGCCTTCTCAGTGCTCAGCTCTGCACCCTCCAGCCCACACGCCTCGAACACAAGGCCTCTGTAGTTGTGCCGCATCGTGTTGGTCGTGTCACACCATTGCAGACACTTCGGGAAGCATGTGTGTCACGTTGCCACATGGTTCAGCCTGGCTGAGAAACCAAGCTCGGCAGCCTTGGCCTTCCCTCACCCCTGGCAGAAGGGTGGCCCCCTGTAGGTCAACATCGAAACGTCACTACAGTGCAAGCAGTGCAAAGTCCGACAAAGGATGCAGGCTCCACCTTTGCACGGCAATGCGGCACAGATCGACCAAGGGGAGCAACTCCGCTGCACTGCCCTGAACAACTTTCGGGCATCGGGGCCTCCCTAGGCACATTGCGAATGCTTCTTCCCTTTCCAAGCCATCTGTAAAAAATGTATACCTGGCGACCGTTCTCCGCGCCAGCATCCTGCGGAAGGCCAGCTTTCCGCAGCGCTCGATTCCTGCAGTTGTGCTGCTAGTCCACGGTCCACGTTGGTCATGCAAAGGTATGAGCGCGGCTGGTTGTGCCAAAGCACTCCGTGCTCATTAGGCGCGAGAGCTTGTCAAGCCACCCTATGTCTCTATTCAAGCTTGGGCTACATAGTACGAAGGACAACCCACCAACAGCAAAACTGGGGGACGGTGTTGTCGCACATTCACGGCTGAGAACCAGCGCACTGGAGAGTGCCAGGTTTAGGATCCAGGCAGGCAGCAGATTCCATGACGAGAGCCAAACGCACAACATCCACAACCCTCAACCCTGCAGAACTTCGCAACAGTGGGAACTCTCAGCTCCTCCCGACCCGTGCCAGGCCTACGGCATCGGGCGCGCAGCCCGGCCAGGCTGGGAGACGCCCGGTCTCGCCAAGCTCGGCTTAAGGGCGTTTTTATAAACAAAAACGCTGAGGTAACATGGCATGTCGAGATAAACGGGGGCAATCATACACGATGATAGCAGGAGGAGGAGGAGGACGAGTGGTAGCAGGTGCTAGTATGAACATCAAACTTTCATGTGATCGCCCTATATCTACCCATGCATTTGTTGATGGCGTGGAGAAGGGAGGAGAGGGGTATAATTCCAGGCCGGTTGGAGATGGATGCTGTAGAGTTGGTTTAGTTAGCGCCCTGTGGGCCTTACAGTCTTCGTGTGTGAGCGTTTGACCCCACAGAAAGGATATGCACACGGTCACGGCCCAAAGGATACTTGGTAAGCATGTCTTCTACAAAAACATTTAAAGCAAGACTGAAAAGAATTGCTTTCGCCTGGATGGGCTCTGCCGGGAGCTCTTTGGTTTTGGCACCGCGCCCTGGAGTCCTCCCGAAGATATGGGCCGCAGCGAAGGTAGCTTTGAGAAGGGTTCGGGAACGGTTCGTATGGCCTGGGGCTTCAATTGAGGCTTTGGGGCTTAGGTTCGAATTAGTGTCTTTTGATGGCCGTCCTCCAAAGAAGTGTCGACATAACAATGACGAGCCTTGTTTTCATGTATGCTCTAGTCGCAAGACTTAAACAAGGCCCTCAAGATTTCCTCTTCCTTCAAGTCTCAAGATAGCTCACAGGGCTCCAGGACATTCGGCTGTTCTGACAACACGTCTTCTCATTTATCGTGTCTTCGTTTTGGGATCTTCAACCGTCTTCTTTCCAAGTGTGATCAAGGTTCTCGCTTCGGCTGCTGAGCCTGCGCCTTTTGCCGTGAGGGTTGCCCACAGATCCTTTAAACTTTGACTTTGGCCCCTACATACTTCTCGACTAAAATACGGCATCATGCCTGTCTCAAAAGGCACCGCGCCGGGACGCAACAGGGAAGGAGAAAGACAACAGTTGGACGATGCAAGACTTGCGTTGAACAGAAATGGAGAGGTACGACGGCATGCAGAGCTGTGCAAAGTCTCAATGCTAACCGTTGGACTATGAACCCGTAACCTTCTAAGAGTGTTGTATATAAGGAGTCTCTTGTACTTCTGGAACGGCCTCCTAGATGTCCTCCGGACTGTCCCGCTCCCTCTACTCTTGACCTAACTCCTATATCCCACTTCGTGAATTTAGTGATATCAACCCGAAACCGTACGCCCTATATGCCCTAAACCCTCAACCTCAAATCCTGAATACTTGTTTCAGCTTGACAAGTGGTACCGATGCCTCCAGGCCGTCGACCTGTTGCCAACAGGCTTTCGGCCATGTGTTTGAGGTGGGGCTGCGGGGCTATCTTTGAGGGCTATCGGATTCGAAGGCATCACAGAGTTTAGCGACTAGAGCTATGGAACTCAGAATGTTGAGATTCAGAGGTCTGTGGCGAGCGGGCTTGGCAATGTAGGCTCAATTCATGCATGCTTTCGCTCTCGCTCTCGCTGGCTGTGTCAGTCTGTGTGTCTCTCTCTCTGTCTCTCTCTCTCTCTCTGTTTCTCTCGCATGCTGCATCGGCCCAAGAATGAAACGAATCTGCAATTCCCAAATCTCAAGCCGTTCTTAGTTTCCTCGGCAGTCGCACGAGAAGGCGATTTTTCTGATCTTGGATACTCGGACGCCAGGCTCGGGTCTGAATAGGGTTCAGGGTTGGGTTGTCGATGAAGTGTCTCGGGCTTTCGATTTAACAAAAAGGCGCAACAGTTTCTCCGGAGGGACGAGGACTCGGGGTTTACTCCCAATCTCATCTCGGACAAGCTGACTTGAGCCAGTGCCTTGGATTCTTTGGCGTTGAAAACAAGCAGTGTGACATATGTGGACCTCATGACGAACCTCAGCCAAACCTGAACATGCATCTGTCCAACTAAACAAGAACAAGAATCTCACAAAGAATCAAACCCCCAACGCAGTCCCAATGTCGAATTGATATTCGATTTTGGGGTTCCTTATGCTAGATATGTGGGGCCATCATGCACAACAACCCCCGACAGCAGCCTTTCTTGGAAGCCTACGTGAGGGTTTCAAAGGGACAGCAGTCTAGGGTCCCAGGGTGCCGGGCAACTCCTCAAAGAGCTTCTTGGCAGCTGCGGTCTTCGTGGAGCACAACAACACCTCGAAACTTCCTACACCAAGTGCATCTATAAATCGCCCAGGACTTGACCCCCAGCCTATGGACGTGTAGATTGTCAGTGTCGAGCTTTGCTTTAGCTTCACGTAGATACTGGTTCAGGCAGAAGAATTTACTGAGGGTTCTCGGAGTCCTTGTAAATTCGCGTTTCCGGGCTCGCGGCCAGGCGATTGAAGAGCTGGGCGCCCACGGTGCTGCCACTCAGGAGGGGCTCCATCTGAGAAGCTGCCAGGGATGAGCTTCTTCGAGCTGAATTTAGCTGTTGCATTTCCGACGCTTTCGTTGTCCATACAATTGTATTCGACGAATTTCGTAATGCTTCCAACACGAGTTTCGGCAGATCGGCTGTAGCTCTTCGGGTTGTTGTGCCAGGCCTACTAACCTACTAATCCCGAGGGTTGAGGCTATAAGGTCAAGCTTGCTAGTCTTACTGTTGCTTGAACCTGATAGAAGACATAGCAGGTATAACGGCAGACATGCACACAAGATGGTGGTACTGAAGCTAAACGACTGTAGACGGAATGCGGGCAACACCCGTGCCTAAAACGATTCGTGGTAACTTCGCCTGCACCACTTCTTCCTTTGACAACTCTCGCTTAGGCTTGGATTCTGTCAGTAGCGTCAGTATGCGAAAAAAAGGAGCATCCTGCCTCACTTGCATAGTGCTATAGGTCGCCAAAGATCGAACGGCTCAGTTATCGGTGTCGTTGTGTTTTCTTCGACTTTGCTGATGTTGCACCGGAAGCTGCTCTTCGTAATCACCACCATCAAAACGGCCGACGCTATCAACACCTTGGACGGGGTCCCGACCCCAGCTTGCTTCAAGAGCGGAGCGGAGAACTTTCTGAGCTCCTAGGAGCAGGAGCTGGAGGGATCCTCATGCGGGTATCACGGACAGACCCCTCAAAAAGCAAGGAACCCAGTGAGCAGCCATGACTTTGCCCATCCCCAACTGTGATTGTCACTGTGATTGTATAATGTTGAGAGAAAAGAATGGCCAAAAGGTGTGCGTATAATATGTTCAGCTCATATTTTGAATTGAAGGATGCGGTCTTCACTGCGCCAGACCGTCATCAGGACTCTGGCTCCGCTCCGATGCTACCCACTCAGCATGCGCCGCCTTGCGCAGGATCTGAGACTCCGAATTATTTGTTTATCCTCTCTCGCTCTCTATCTCTCCCTCTTTCTCTCTCCAAGAACATATTGAAACCCTACTCTAGCATGTTCAAGATCCCAGGCAGGCATGGAGGATGGGGCAATCGTGGCACTCAGTGTTGAGACCCAAATTCGCCACAGTTTTTCGACAGCCTACTTTCGATTCTCCGTGCGCTACCAATTCCAACCCAGTTTCCATTCACGATTCGCCAGAATCCCCTCTTCGGCCCGCACCTCCTGATTGTCAAAGCCTAGAAGCTTGGCAGCCTTTGCCACAGTCATGTGGACCTGGCCATAATCTCTGAGGCGAAATCAACAGACGATCAGTGGATTGAAAGGCTTCGAGCTCCTCGCCGTAAGATGTTATGTAACAGTTATGTGGTACCTTTTGACCGCTGCGTGCTTGTCACAAGGAGAACATTATGGAGGCATGCTCGTGTGGGCTGTCTCCACGTGAAGTCTACCTAATAGTTAATAGTCCGTACCTCTGTCTCTCGACTCTCTCCATCCGTCCCCCGGTGCCCTCTTCCCTGCCTCCTTTCTCTCTCTCTCTCTCTCGGTCGGTCTTCCTCTCTTTCCGTCATTCCGTCCGGCAGCTCCACCAAGGTATCTTCGGTACCAGCCTCTACATCTCTCTGTCTGTCTGTCTGTCTGCCTGTCTGTATGGATCTATCTCTCTCTCGCTCTCTCACCTCTCTCCCCTCTCTCCCCTCTCTCACCTCTCTCACCTCTCTCACCTCTCTC